TCAAACACAATATTATGAATATTTATATAAAACTTTCGGGAATCAACACAGTTGAATGCCTTGAGGAGATTACAAAAGATTACGATAGGGCATTCCCCCTGTTGATTGAATTCAACATGTTCGAATATAATGACTGAATTGCATCGGTAGTTGATGTCGAATTATGAAAACCATATTGGTTTTTGGATTGTTCTCGTTCAAATAAATGCTCAGTCTTTTTCAAGTATGCATATTTAAAAATCTCAAAGGAAACAGATGTCACTGTGATTGGCAGGAAATTTGTCACGTTATTCGGATCAACTTTTTTATCTAAGGAAATGACTAACTGTTTTGATGAGATTCAGAAAAAATCTTGTTCAGTATGAAATACTTATCAGATACATTGAAGGTGAGATTAAAAAGCCTAATTTTTTTTTTAATAAGCTGTAATACATACCTTCCACAAGCAATAACAGCCATCATTGATGATGTCAATTTATGTGGTTCTGTAAGGCTACTCATTGAAGAATACAATTTTTCTAGTGTCATTGGAATAATGATATTTGGCCTGAGAGAAGCCAAATATTGCAGAGTCAGGTTCGTATCTTGCATGCCAACTTTATTGAACAATGCCTGTTCTATGCATGGTTTCAATATTTTAACGAATCTGTCGATATCTTCATCTGTTAATTTAAAATGATCTGGTACTTGAAATTCCCACGATGGGGTTTTGTATCTTTCATTGTGAACTCTCGTAACAAAATAATATGATAGGGAGCGAAGAAGTTCCCTGAGCTTGCTTATCCACCTGTAAATGAAATGAGAGATCACATACATTTATTGATATTTCCATATAAAAATAGATAAAGGGAACACGAAGAAAAAACAAATTGGCAAAAATTAAAATCAATGATCCAAATAATGAAACCAAAGAAACATAATTGCAGGACCGTAGGCATATTACTCGATTAATTGTTTTATGGTAGGTGGATTGCCGATAATGGGCCCACCTTTGGCCACCACGTTTTTCCGATCTGTCCCCTATGGATTATTATGTATGGGGACATATTGAAAATATAGCATATCCAGATCCTGCTACAAGTAAGGAGAATATGGTTAGGAAAGTTTTACAAGCATCCACAAGGCTCTGTCCTAGGTACAATTCTTTTTCTATTATATATAAATGATTTGACAAGTATACATATATCCGGTAGATTCACTTTATTCGCCGATGATACTACCATCATCTGGCACAGTCCGTCTCTCCAGAATTTAAATAAAATAATCATTGAAGATATATCCAAAATTTCCAAATGGTGTGAGTGTAATATACTTTCTTTTAATATTAAAAAAACAAATNAACTACATATAATATACATATTTTCCAACTAACTAACGCTCTAGGTATTCCAATAATTTACTTTTAAACCCTCTTACAGTATTTTCCTCTTTAATGGCATTTGGTAAATTGTTAAATTCCCGTAGTCCCTTGTAGAATAAGTTTTTAGTTCCGCCACCAGTGTGAGTTCTATATATATGAAAATTATTATAAGATCTTGTCTCATGTTCATGTATTTGATTATTAAAAACCAAAAATTCATTAAAATATGTTGGTTGGAGACTTTTGGTTATTTTAAATATAAAAACAATTGTTAAAAACAATAATCGATTTGAAATCGACAGCCATTGTAGTATATTTAACATGTGATCAATGGAAGTATAATCATCTAAAATCCTGTCCTCAATAAAAACCATGACGACATATTAGCAGCTCTAATGAACTGTCCGTAACTGTTCGAAATTAAGTTTTCATAGCCCATTATTATGGTGGACATGCGCATGTTTTATTTTTTCAAGAAAAACTGAAATACAGTGTGTCTCACTTCTCATGGAAACTCCCCCGTATCTTCCGTAATATTCGAGGTAGAACGATGAAACTCTCTGGACTGATGGAAATGCTCAAAATGCACCTACCACCTGAATGGGGTTGGCCAAAGTGATATACACTGTCCGCCACTAGCGATGGAACACCCCATTTTTACGGTAAAACATATTAGGGGGCAAAATAGGCTCAAAATTCCTTCAGATTCGTGATCTGGACTACCAACTTACTACGAATACAAATTTTCCTGAAAAATCCGAATTTGTCTCACTTCTTATGGAAACACCCCCGTATATTCCGTAATAATTGAAGTAGATTTTTTTTTTGTTTTGACATCAAAACATGAACATCAGTCCTGAGAGTTTCATCGTTCCACCTCGAATATTACGGAAATATTACGGGGGTGTTTCCATGAGAAGTGAGACAAATTCGGATTTTTCAGGAAAAATGTGTATTCGTAGTAAGATGGTAGTCCTGATTACGAATCTGAAGGAATTTTGAGCCTATTTTGCCCCCTAATATGTTTTACCGTAAAAATGGGGTGTTCTATCGCGAGTGGCGGACAGTGTCTATCACTTTGACCAACCCCATTCAGGTGGTAGGTGCATTTTGAGCATTTCCATCAGTCCTGAGAGTTTCATCGTTCTACCTCGAATATTACGGAAGATACGGGGGTGTTTCCATGAGACACACTGTATATAGTGAATGGTCGATTTTTAATATAGGAAATGTTTTATGAAAATGAGTCAAAAATCATCTCTAAATTTCAAAACTATTCTAATTCTAAAATAATAAACTATTCTAGTCAATCCATTTTTATATCTTCATAATAAGTCATTGATTCC